AAAATGCATTGAATTACAACAATATATAGACAATAAAGTTAGACAATAAATGTTTTGGTTGTCAAATGTTAGTGGAACATGCTTTCAATTAAAGCCATAATTCACCCCCAAAATAAAAATTTGCTGAGAATCTACTCTAAGATGTAGATGAGTTTGTTTCTTCGGAACACATTTGGAGAAATTTAGCATTACATCACTTGCTCACCATTGGATCCTCTGCAGTGAATGGGTGCCGTCAGAATGATAGGCCAAACAGCTGAGTAATAATCCACAAGTAACAGTCCAAAGCGAAAACAGTCCAAAACAGTCTCAAGTAAGTTTTTCATTCATTGCTGCTGGATTGCGTTCAAAAGAAGGTTGGGGCAAGTTGTCCCATGTGCTTTATAAATTTTACATTCATACAATCAATATATGTGAATGCCTGTTAGCTAAAAATAATCTTCTGATAATTGTACATGTTACAAGAGTGTTGGATTGTTTTAATGTTTGCAAACTGCTAAACAAATAAATTCCTTTTTTAGTTTAAATGTATGTTGAAAAATTGAAAATAGCATTATTATTAAGACATTTTAAACTAAGACTTTTCCTTAATCCACACTTAAAAATGCATTGAATTACAACAATATATAGACAATAAAGTTAGACAATAAATGTTTTGGTTGTCAAATGTTAGTGGAACATGCTTTCAATTAAAGCCATAATTCACCCCCAAAATAAAAATTTGCTGAGAATCTACTCTAAGATGTAGATGAGTTTGTTTCTTCGGAACACATTTGGAGAAATTTAGCATTACATCACTTGCTCACCATTGGATCCTCTGCAGTGAATGGGTGCCGTCAGAATGATAGGCCAAACAGCTGAGTAATAATCCACAAGTAACAGTCCAAAGCGAAAACAGTCCAAAACAGTCTCAAGTAAGTTTTTCATTCATTGCTGCTGGATTGCGTTCAAAAGAAGGTTGGGGCAAGTTGTCCCATGTGCTTTATAAATTTTACATTCATACAATCAATATATGTGAATGCCTGTTAGCTAAAAATAATCTTCTGATAATTGTACATGTTACAAGAGTGTTGGATTGTTTTAATGTTTGCAAACTGCTAAACAAATAAATTTAAATAAATTTTTAGTTTAAATGTATGTTGAAAAATTGAAAATAGCATTATTATTAAGACATTTTAAACTAAGACTTTTCCCTCAAATCGGTCAATAAACAGTATTGTCACAACATGCCTCGATAGAAACTGGAACTTTATCTTGTTTCATGGACTTTTTAAAGCTTGATAAAACATTAAGCTATACAGAAATTGACTTTCGAAATAAAACCTGGGAAATATTCATTGTGATAACTATCCCAGTCTCCCCTACACTTAAGCCAAAACAGTTTCAAACAAACATGTCGGTGGACAACAGGCAGTGCTGGGTTGCTTGTATTGTAGTCTGTTATTGATTACAAATTACGTGAAAATTGTAGTCAGGAATGTAATTTAGATTACTCATTTTAGGTAATGTATTCTGACTATTTTGGATTACTTTTAGATTACTTATGACCTTAATTAAATGACCTTAAAATTTATGACCTAAATGTTTGCATTTGAAATATTTTGTTTACCTGCATGCCAATGTGACCATTAAACGACATCAGAAAAACTGTAAACAAGCAAATGTGCTGTTAAATGATTGAAATATTAACTTTAAATTTCAGGGGGACTTCAAGTAAATATTTTAGGTCAAAGGGTTTGACTGACAAAAAAGTTTGTGAATCCCGGCATCATAATATCAAATATGTAATCATGTAATCCATAAAAAAAGTAACTGTAATCTGATTATGAACATTTAATATAATCTAATTACAAGTATAAAAATGTTGGAATCTGATTACGTAACATTGCATTATATGTAATCAGTTACTACCCAGCACTGACAACAGGGGATGGATTTTATCACTGGTAGAATGGATAATGGACTAATATTTTGGCCAGAAGCAACAGTTTAAAGTTAAAAAGCCTTAATGATGTATTTGTTTCTTACAAACAAGGCACCCATTCACAAGATCCACTGGTGAGAAAGTGATGTAATGCAAAATTTCTCCAAGTCTGGTCTGAACAAAAAATGAGTGATATTTCAGCAACATTTTGCATGCAAAAAAAGTCCACTGTCCATTTTCAATAGCATAGCGATGTATGAAGCACTGATCCCACAGAAGTCACTTTCAGACCAAGCAGCTTTTTGTTGATCAGCATGGCGAATTTGTGACCAATCTGAACATGAGCGAATCTGCCGGGGGAAATGTGTGGGGAACTGGATTTCGCTCCATGAAATTTCGTCAAGCAATGGTAAATGTGACTGCCCCTGTTACTCTGTTAGGAGAGCTGTCAGAACTTGAGAGGAACAGACTTCGAATCTACTAAAATTACCTTTTTTGCCATGTGCAGTGACTTATGCCACTCAGACCTGTGTAGGGCCAGAAGGATTAAAAGGGGACAAAATTAATTAACATGAATAGTACTTAACAGTATTTGTAGTATTTGATATTTTAAACCATTTTATATAATATAAACCACAATATTATTATTTAAACAACATCTGTGTAGAGCAGTGGTTCTTATCTTTTTGGCCCATACAAGATATTTCCACCAATATTTTTGCCATAATTATAGCAATAAATATACATTTTTTCATTTTTTCTTTTCTTTTTTACCATTTTAATTAACTTTTATCATTTTATTAATAATGATATTATTATTAATTGTATTAATAATAATAATATATTCATTAGAATAATCATTAGTCATCCTGCAAAACCTGAATCAATGCATTTATGTGGACTTTTTCACACTGCAAAATAGTTTCTTCCAACAACAAAGTGAATGTTTTAGTGAAGAGTGGGGTGGCCAATGGCCAGTATAATATAGGCCTACAAATAAAATTGCTTAGGGATGAAGGAAATAACCAGTATTGTATTGAATGTAATATTGATTGCATTGAATGTAATATTAAGACTAAATAACTATAATAGTTACTAGTACTACGTAGGACATCTAGTGGTGAACACATGAAGCTACAGGTGAAAAAAGTCAAGTGAAAATTTTACAGATGAAAGTTAGTCTGTCTGTCTTTTGGGCCGTTTTTGGGAAGGAACAAGAAAGGTCCCTTTCCAGCTGACTAACAGAGGACTGCAGACTGATTTTGTCGCTGCATGCGGGCTCCGTTACATCCATTCTTTTTCACTCTGCAGGTGGTGGAGTAATGTTTGCTTATTTTCTGTATCTTGTATCTTCATTAGAATCTCACTTGCTTGTCTTTAGTCTTTCTCTTTTTTCATCTTTTATCCATTTTTTTTTTCAGATGTGACTTTTGCTCTGTCTGTCTCCATCCAAGCAAGCTTTGTTTTTGCAGGTGGTGAAGTTGCATTTTTTTTTTTTTTCTGGACAGTACTGGTGGAATTTTCAATATTTATTTGTTGGCAAGACGTGTCTACAGGAACTGACTAAAATACAAAATATTGTGACAAATAAAACAACCCCAGGTTTCTTTGTTCATGTCTGTCAGATATGGTTAATTCAGAAAAAGGCAATCTCACACAAATGAAACAAACAGCGACATCTATTTATGAACTTTATTTCACCATAACAAAGTGAATATCATTTTCAACAGTCAATAAGTGCATTAGAGGATATCATCCTACAAAAACAAAAATGGCATCGTTCATAAACACTATATATACCACAGGCAATCACAATGGGGTATGGAAAATCACAATGGGGTATGGAAAATAATACAGCAGGCTTGGAATTGCCCTTGTATTGGTCCAAAACAAGAGCGAATACCATTTATCCAGTGGATGTTTAGTATTAAGACTTTTAGCATACACAGTGACTAGGCTAGTACCGTTAGGCTAGTGTGGAGCAATACTGTAAAAATCTCACAATAGAAGGGAAAAAAAACAGGCAGATGAAATGAAAGCATTTTCAGCTCTTTCTGAACGCATGTGTGACTTGCTCTTCCAGATGTCATAATTTGTATCGCAGATGAGGGTCTTGCAGACAAATAAAAAAATCTTGCAGCTTGCATATAGTTGCATTCTTCTTTGATTTTGCATTTGTGATACTGAGGTAATATGAATAATTCTCTAGTCAACATCTAATTTTATAATAAGCAAAATCCTCGCAGTCAAGAGCTTGGAGGAGCTAAAATGGCATGCAGCTGTTTTACTGAATACAGAATTAAAATAAAAAGTGATCTAACAAAGTTTTCTTGTAAAACCAACAATTCAAATTAGATAAGACAACTGATCAAATTTTCCTTCAAAGTATAAAGAGAGAGTAAGAATCGAAAGGTCAGATGTGAATAATACCAACATCTAAAAGTGAGATCATGCAATCCATCGCCATTTTTAACCACAAAGAGACTGCTAACACAGAATTAAAAACATTTCAGTGCACAGAGAACATGAGAGTGCTTGTAAGAGCAGATCGTCACTCAGCATTACAATGTACTTATTAGCACTACATCTATACCAAAACTGATCTCAGACCTGCATTCTAGCACTTGTCCCTTATCATCACTAACACAAGTGATCTTCAGTTCTGTAAATTGTCCAGCAGGAAGAGCACCATTTTTTTTGGGATGACCAGTGACTGGTTTCACAGGGCTTCAAAGCAGGACATTTTCAACACTGTCGCAAACACTGGGGTCACATCAGCAGAATTAGGGTATAATAACTCAAAAATGTGAGTAGTTATATTAGCATTGCTTAAATGCTGCATTTTCTAAAATTTGTTACAGATATAAAGTATTTTCTAGTGATTGTCTAGCTATCTATAGATATTTATATAGGTATGTTTTAGCAGTGAGACTATTGTGCACAATGCACACAGTAATATTCACTGTGGATGGGACATTTACTGCACAGGTAAGGTACAGTGATATTTTGACATGCATGCATTGCACAAAAATCTGTTAATAGCATGGCCCTGTGAGAGGAGAATACTGATGATTTGTCAACATCCAAGGCTGGTGATGTTGGAACGACCACCAGGGGGTGCTACAATGCGGTGGCCAGAGCGCCGAGGAATGTTGTCGTCGATTTGAGCCCCTAATAGTAAAATAATCATAAAAATATACTTGCTGTAAAATACTGATAAAATGATACATTATTCAAAGGAATTTCTGAATATTATGTTCTTAGGGAATATATTGGAAAAGGTAATGTTCTCTATAGTCTGATCCCATCTTACCTGATAGGCTGAAGTTAGACTGATGCAGGTTTCTGATTGGTGGAGGCTGGTGTGTAGTGGGCGAGGTCTTGGCGGAGGGTGCTGGGGTTATGTATTTGGGTGTTGCTGGGACATCATATACTGGACCATCATACATCCCACGAGAAACTCCCTGCTTACTCATCATCTGGCAAAAACAGTTAAAGGACGGGTGCTTTTCTTAACAGTCTGCACCATATCACAACACATCTAGTTCATTATGACATTATTATTTATCAAATGAATGCTAAGCAAATACTGAGCCAATATGCTATTACACTTCTGATTTTTCTTTTAAAGAAATTAATACTTTTATTCAGCAAGAATGCATTAAATTGACTAAAAATCCATAAAGACATTTATAATGTGATTTCTTTTCAAATAAATGCTGTTCTTTCGAACTTTCTATTTAGCAAAAATCCTGAAAATAAAATGTATCACTGTTTCCACAAAAATATAAAGCAGCACAATGGTTTTCAAAATGTATAATAGTAATAAAAAATGTTTCTTCAGCAGCAAATCAGCATATCATAATGATTTCTGAAGGATCATGTGACATTGAAGACTGGAGTAATGATGCTGAAAATTCAGCTTTGATTTGAATGAATTACATAAAAAAAATATTAAAATAGAAATCAATTATTTTAAGTTGTAATAATATTTCACAATATTCCTGTTTTCCTGTATTTTTTGATAGAAGATATATTTGTAGGCATGACCTACTAAATTAGCAAAGTATTGTCATATTCATCCCTCAGGTCTTTTAAGTGTAATATCTATGAAGCCTGCAATGAAACTGAAAGTGAGCAGAGTTTTTTTTCAGAGAACAATTTTTCAAAAAGAAATTAATGCTTTTTTTCCAGCAAGGATGCATTAAATTGATCAAAAGTGTCAGTAAAGACATTTACAACGTTACAAAATATTTCTATTTCAAATAAATGCTGTTCTATTTGAAATATACTGTATATTCATCAAAGAATCCTGAAGAAAAAAATGTATCACTGTTTTGACAAAAATAAATGTTTCTTAAGGAACAAAATCCCACTGAAGACTGGCATAATGATGCTGAAAATTCAGCTTTGCCATCACAGACTAAATTACATTTTAAAGTATATTAAAATAGAAAACAGATATTTAATTTTACAATTTTTACTGTATTTTTGATCAAATAAATGCAGCCTTGGTGAGCATGAGACTTATTTCAAAAACATAAAAAATCATACCGAACCTAAACTTTTTAATGGTAGTTTATGGTAGTTTATATATACAGCATAGCTAACTAAGACTAAGTGAAGGTCAGTGAAATAATCAATGGATTAAGAGTCATACCTTGTTGCGGTACTTAATGCGCAGGTAGGCAACGTCAGGGAAGGGCTTGCGGGAGATGAAACGGCCAGTCCCCTGCTGAACCTGGAGCTTCCCTTCCTCAAACACAATCCTACCCTGACTGACCACATACACTGGACCACCATGACACTCCATCCCCTCAAAAATATTATACTCCAAAGCCTAGAAATAGAAGAAGAGTGATGCACTAGAAGAAAACCCATTTTCCAGTGTTTTTCAAAGTATAAACAAAATCACCATTCAAATTTTGAAAGCTTTTAAGATTTAGGAAAAATTTAGTTTTGCAAATGTATTATTTTTTTATAAAAAGATTGGAAAAATTAAACAACCCCAATTCAGTATTAAATAACTAAATAACAGCCATCCAGAGTATGGTTCAATATTCCAGCATCTTGCAGAGCTTTGTAGTCCTCACCGACTGCTGTGCTTTGGCTGTGATGGTCTTGATCTTGTCAGGGTCCCAGATAACAATGTCAGCATCTGAACCCACTGCTATCCGACCCTTACGAGGGTACAGGTTGAAGATTTTGGCTGCATTAGTGCTTGTAACTGCAACAAACTGGTTTTCATCCATCTTCCCCATAGCCTGTAGGGAACAAATTGAGTGGTTACTGATAAATGCAACCTGTACCTCAGTCCATATAAACATACATGCAGATGCACTTACCACAGCTTTGTCCCAAACGAAACCCATTCTCTCCTCCACTCCATTGGTTCCCTCTGGTATAAGAGTAAAGTTGTCCTTCCCTATGGCCTTTTGAGAGGTGCTGTAAGCACAATGTCCACTACCCACGACCTGCAGATCCCCACTGAAGATAGAAGTTTAAGAGAAATGTAACTACAGGGGTAGCAGCTCCAAACAGAACATGATCTGCCCTTTAGAGCTAGTTGTGATGTTCTTTGTGACCTTATTTTTCTTTATAGGTTGCATAATGTGGCATAGAACTGTACACTACTGTTCAAAAGTCTGAGGTTGGTAAGATTTTTAAATGTTTTTGAAAGAAGTCTCTTATGCTCACCAAGGCTGCATTTATTTGCTAAAATACAGTAAAAACAGTAATACTGTGAAATATTACTACAATTTAAAATACCTGTGTTAAAATGTAATTTATTCCTGTGATAAAGTCTCAGTATCATTGCTCCAGTCCTCAGTGTCACATGATCTTTCAGAAATCATTCTAATATGCTGATTTGGTTCCTTAAGAAACATTTCTTATTATCAATGATGAAAACAGCTGCTGCTGCATATTTTTGAGAAAACAAATCTTTGGTGAATAGATATTTCAAATAGAACAGTATTTATTTGAAACCTTTTAAATCTTTTGTAACATTATAAAGTTTACTTTACTGACACTTTTGATCAATTGAATGCATCTTTGCTAAATAAAAGTATTAATTTCTTTAAAAAAAAATGAAAAGCTCAGTGCTCACTTTCAAATTCATTGCAAACTTCATAGATATTACACTTCAAAAACCTGAGGGATAAATATGACAACTCTTTGCATTTTTAATAGATCATGTCCCTAGATATCTTTTCTATCTTTTGACCAACCAGCTTAGTTACTATTCGAGATAGCAGATTGAGCAGAAAGTATTAGACATTTCCACTAAACTGACAAAAGATTTGCTTATTGAGCAACTAGCATCAGGAAAATTACACTGTAAAAAATGATCATGATTTTAATGGTAAGAGACTGTAGCAAAAACCTGTTAACTGGTTAACAGTAAGTTTATGTACTATATATACGGTGAATAGCTGTAATAGATCTAACCTTTTTATAATATATATAATACCTTATAACTTTTATAATACCTTATTTAATGTAATTTTACAGTAAAATGCTATCAAATTTATGGTTTTTGGAAGTGAAATGAACTACTTTTATTGTATAATTTAGAGTGAAAAACCATTTAAAAATTGACATTCCCAGAATTCCCTGTGTGACACCTCACATTTGATGTTTTTTTTTTGTTGAAATAACTGTTTCTTCATTTTTTTTCTTATTACTTATGTATATTAGGGTTTTTATCTTACATCAAATGTCGTTAAATTAATGTTTATTGCATTATTTTAGTGTCATACATGTTACCATGATGGTGTTTAGTATTTGTGTGAATGACACTGTGCACGTTTTACATATTAGTATTTACCTCCTCAGCTGTAGACATGTAGGTGCAACGTTACTTATAGTCAACAGAATGTGTTAAAGGGACCATCAAAATAAAGTGAAACCGCAAGTTCCCTACGGTGAAAAACTGTATTGGACATTATGTAATTTTACAGCAATATACAGGTTTTGGAAGTGAAAAGGAATGTATAATTTACAGTGAAAAACTGTGAATTGACATTCCCAGAATTCCATTTCACATTTGATGTTTTTTCGTTAAAACAACTATGTTTCTTAGTTATTTCTTATCAGTTGTGTACATTAGGGGTCATCTAATGTTGTTACATTAATGTTACCATGATGGTGTTTAGTATTTGTGTGAATGACACTGTGCACGTTTTACATATTAGTATTTACCTCCTCAGCTTTGGAAAAGCTGCTTGTCATGAGCTTTGATTCATCATGTGACTTTCATCAGTGTACAGTGGTTTCTGTGAAACTGAAATGGTTTCTTCATGTGGGCTAACCATACAACCAGGCCCAACTGAATTTGTCAGCTTCAATTAAATATGTAGAATCCAAATGGATGTATGCATCCATAAACCTTATGGATATGTGTGACTGTTGTTTGTCTTCAGATCATACATATAATCTAATACTTGATCTTTGATCTTTTTCTAGAATTTCCTCTCATCCTTTGGACCCGTCTAATGTATCTAAGCTAAAAATAAATGTCCTCTGTCCAGCTGTGTCAGTCTGCCTCTGTGTGATAGTGTGTGTGTGTGAATCCCTGTGCCTGTGCCTGTGAGTGTGTGTGTGTGTGCGTGTGTGTGTGTGTGTGTGTGTGTGTGTGTGTGTGTGTGTGTGTGTGTGTGTGTGTGTGTGTGTGTGTGTGTGTGTGTGTGTGTGTGTGTGTGTGTGTGTGTGTGTGTGTGTGTGTGTGTGTGTGTGTGTGTGCATATCGTATGTGTGGCTGGCTGTGGCTGTCAACATAATGACATCTCTCTCATAGTCTAACAGCCTGCAAGTCTACAAGTTATGTGTGTGTGTGTGTATATGGGGAGAGAGGATGATGGTGCTCTGTAACCATGGTAACAGGAGATGAAAGCCTGATCTATTTTTAGAAATGGGGCCAGGAAAAGGTGTGTCTGCGGTCTGGGTGTAGCAAAGAGCCAAAGTAATCGAGAGAGTAGATAAAAAATTTGTAGATAGTGCCACTTGCCCAAAGTCTCCACTGTTTCACTGCATCTACACTAATGATGCAAATGTCACAGATGTCTTAAAATGTAGAAATAACTCTACATTTCTTACCAGGACAGTAGAGAGTGAAGGTGGTCAGGTGTCGTCGGGTCAGGGCTGAGGGGTGGAGAGGTCACATAGGCTGCTGCTTTTGCCCAGTTTTTGCTCCAATAGTGTGATCCATCTGTTGCCAAGCTGGCTGTGATTGGCTCACCAAAAACAACAGAGCCTAAAGCCAGTGCAATGAAAAGAATACATACAAATTTATGGATTCATTTAAAAAAATGTATGCCATTCATACCATTCAAAAGTTTAAGGACAGTAAGATTTTTTTTTTTTTTTTTTTGAAAGAAGTTAACTGTTTTTCAGCAAGGATGCATTAAATTGACTAAAAGTAACAGTAAAGCCTTTTAATTAGAAAAAAAAGGAAAATTAAATAAAATAAATTCTGTTATTTTCAACTTTCTAGAATGCTAAAAAAAGATCATTAATAATATAAGAACATACATTGATAATTATAAAAAAATTATTCTTGAGCTGCAAATCATATTAGAATGATTTCTGATCATGTGAGACTGAAGACTGAAGTAATGATGCTGAAAATTCAGCTTTACCATCGCAGGAATAAATTATATATTAATAATATATTAAAATAGAAAACATAATAATAATAATAATAATAATAATATTTCACAATTTTACCATTTTTACTATATTTTTGATGAAGTAATGCAGCCTGGATGAACATACGAGGCTTCTTTCAAAAATATTAAAATATGAATTCAGCATGCAACAATATTTCACAATTTGCAATCACCTTTCTTCCGTGCAGTGGCCACAGTATCAGCTGCACTTTTACTCATCACTTTGGTGATGTAGACAGGGCAGTTGACTCGGTTGCCAAGGGTGATGGCACGGAAAACAGCCTCTGCCTCCAGCTGTGAAACAGACAACATCAGGACGCTTCACACCACTGAAAGTGGCTGGATAAACAGTTACTCAGTTAAACTTATAATTCATTCGCCAATTTGTTTATTGATCCCACCTCTTCTGGACGGCTCAGTGGGTGGCCCTCTGGACCGGTGATGCCCATTCCCAAGATTTTGCTTTGTTCCTTGAACACAAATGTTGTAAACATTAAAAAACAGTAAATGGCACCTAAATATTTTGGAATACTGTATGGCATTTGCTCATTAGTCAACCTGTGCTATCAGGTCTCCATTCTCTGCATGAACCAGAACCACTGCCCCCAGCTCCTTAAGGAATGAGAACGCTTCATACAACTATAGGGGAGAAAGAGAGATCAGATCTGATTATATTACAGTGCAGAACGTTCTACAGATGGAAGCATACAGTAGATGGCAATGTTGCAAACGGCAGCATCAACTAACCTGAGAGTCAGGCATTTGAAATAACCCTTTGTAAGCCATGTACACTTGGAAAGAGTTGATTCCTGCCAAAAGAAGAGAACATTAACATGTATTTCCAAAGATATACAGTACCATTCAAAAGTTTGGGATTGGTAAGATTTTCAATGTTTTTGAAAGAAGTCAAATTTATTTTACCAAAAATACAGTAAAACTGTAATATTGTGACATACAAATTAAATTCAGTTATCCATTTTCAATATATTTTAAAATGCAATTTATTTCTGTGATGGCAAAGCTGAATTTTCAGCATCATTTCTCCAGTCTTCAGTGTCACATGATCCTTCAGAAATCATTCTAATATGCTGATTTGGTGCTCAAGAAACATTATTATCAATGTTGAAAACAGTTCTGCTCAATATTTTTCTAGAAACAACTCATACATTTTTCAGGATTCTTTGATAAATAGAAAGTTCAAAAGAACATTTATCTTAAATGATTTTTATAACATTATAAATGGCTTTACTGACACTTTAACCAGTTTAATGTGTCCTTACTGAATACAAGTATTCATACTTTTTTTTTTACAATTTACTGACCCCAAACATTTGAGCAATAAGTGTATTTACAATCATTAGCACTTCAAGTTGTTGAAATTCAAAATTCAAATATGTGATTACAAATTTAAATATGTGTTCACCTTTTTCCTGTACCAGCTGTTCCAGCTCCTCCTTCACACCTTCATGCCAATGTGGGATATCCACATGAAGTGAATAATCACAGCAGGACTTCTTATCAGCCACTTCCTGCCACTTCTCAAAGGCCTCCAATAGACTCTCACCAGGCTGTGGAGTCACATGGTCAACTGAAAGAGAAGATGACGGATTCTGCTCAAACTGGTCTTGAGCTTTTTGGTTGGTTTTTGTAGACTCTATTGAGTCATTTCTATTATTTTCTATTGAAGATGCTGTTAGTTTGCTGCTTTAGTCTTTGATTACTCCATTAATCTCTGTATGTTCCTCAAATACTTTTTTCACGTGCACAAAAACTCCTTTCACTCTTTGTGGCTGGAAATGATGTCACTCACAACAGCTAATAGTTCTGATTCATTGTTTAAGTAAGGAATAATTGATGACGGGCCGTTGAATTATTAGAAAAATAATGCACACCCAAGGTCACACCCTCAATGCCGTTACACCTCGGGTGTGCATTATTTTTCTGATAATTCAATGGCCCGGAGTCAATTATTCCGCTTATACTACGGTTACCACACCTTAAGACATCGATCAGATGATATATTTAAAGGGATTCGTCCAGTTTTTCTACTTAAATCGCTATTGTAGGATTATTTCTTCTGCATCTCATCCAACGCCTCTTTTGCTAGTTCCAAAACGTAATTTTAAAGCTGGTAATGGAGGCTTGAGCCGTTGATAGCATTCTAATGCAGTTATTAATGAAGTTATTAGAAAGAGAGCGAGAGAGACAGAGACACACAGAGAAAGAGAAAGAAAGAGAGAGCTTGTGTGAATTAGGCTACCTCTGTACGTCCCTCAACAGTGTTCTGCAGCAGCGTCTCTAAACAGCGCTGTTATTACCTCGCTAGTGAGAAATGTCATGTGTAGCCTTTAAGTTGCTACACTATATAGGCTAACTGATAAAATCGTCAGGGCAGCGCTGACAACACCTTTTTGTGCAAACTGCGTGACCGTAGTGTGCGTGTGCGAGCACGTGTGATTGCAGTAATTCCTGTGTGCTGTATAGGTACTGTATGCTAATTTCCGTTATTACAGTTAACTATGCGAAGTGATATGGAACTGTAATGTGGTCAAGACAGCTGCCTGGAACTACGTTCGCCGTACGTTTCCCTGAAAATAATTGCACACCTCAGAACATTCGTCAGCCAATCACATTCAAGCATTCAACGGCCCCGTAGTATAAAGAAAATTAACTACTGTAACCATAAAAACCTCTTGGCTCAAGAGACAAAATCTGACTGGCTGTAGCTGACATGCAGGAGATGCATTCCTAGGGCATGTCCTTGTAGCAACAACAGACATATTTGGGACGCTGCTTTGCTCTCGAAGGGAGATGCAAGTGAGTCCTAGTCCAGCCTATTTGTCCTCCTTGCTAGGGAAGTTGGCACTGCATCCTAAATATTCAACATACTTGAACCTTTGCCCAAATGAGACAATCTTGAGATCAAATGTCATTTTAAGTCCCTTTTTTTTTTTAAGATAAACTTCCTAAACTTTTCTTTCTTTGAATAACAATTCCTCCAGACTTACTGATCATAGTGGTTCCTCCTGCCAGAGCAGCTTTGGTGCCCTGGTAGAAGTCATCTACAGGTGGAGTGCCTAGGTAAGGCTTATGCAGGCAGGTGTTCACATCAATACCTCCAGGAATCACCAAACACCCATTAGCCTCAATCACCTTCACGCCCCCTGGCACAATCAGGTTCTCCCCAACCTGTCTGTAGGAGAGATAGAGGGTTTAATAAAGCGCAGAGAGGGCCAAGGAAGGAAAAAATATTCATGGGACCAAATACATACTACAAATGTACTACATTACACGAAAGATTCAAATGTAGGTTTTTAATTAAAACATCAAGGTTATAAAGAGATTTTTAAGGCCTGATGCCACAGGAGAATGTCATATTATGCCAAATAAAATGTTATGAAATACAATGCAATTACACATTATTACATTCTATTGACAGCCACAGTTTTTTTAATTTTATTTTTGTTAACAGATTTTATTTTATTTTTTACTTCAAACTAATTATCTAATCAGTATTAATGGGTCTTTGTGCAAGAAAACATATAGCTGCATTTATAAAAGGGTCCCTGGCAATCATTATATTTGGGGGTCCTTGGAATCAAAAAGTCTCAAACCCCAACCATAAGGTATATACATATACCTTACATTTCATAATATGCACCATTTTTCATGTATCATTGATATTCATATTAATTATATGCAATTGCTAGTGAAAAATTGCACTGCGATTTGGAAATAAAGTGTTCATTTGCTTGTGCATGACATTAAGTCAATCTTCAACATATGTCAACATATATATATATATATATATATATATACATACACACACACACACAATTTCTGATTTCTAAATATGAATGAATTCTTTGGAAATAATGTTCCTTTCACATTAAGCAAACTGGACATTTTTACATTATTGGAATATCTCATATTAACATTTCTAGGATGGTGAGTTGTTAATAAAATTAAGTTTCAGAAACATTGTGCTAACCTTAAAATAACATTCCACTACCATTAAGATAAATTAATATATTTTATAAGATGCTGCATAGAGCCATTTAAGAACTTTTTTGCATGTGACTGTGATCGATGAGCAGGTTTCATGCATGCATCATTCATATTTATATTAAAGGGGTCATATGATGCTTTTTTAAAGATCATTATTTTGTGTATTTGGTGTAACAGAATATGTTGACATGCTTTAATGTTCAAAAAACACATTATTTTTCAAATACTGTCCAAAGAGAAAGGAAAACTTGAAATCGCATCATATGACCCCTTTAATGTTAATGAAAAATTGCATTGTGCTTTGGAAAAAGTGTGCATTTGCTTGTGCATGATGTCTTACTTAATAATTCCATCTTCAACATAAACGTCAGCATATTGCGACTGATCATCATTAACCACTCTTCCACCTTTAATCAGCAGCCGCTCACTCTGAGGAAGAGAGAGAGAGAGAGAGAGAGCAAGAGAATAAGTAATTCCAACACCAGTTTAAACCTTATTTTACCTGCTATATTTGCAATTCAGTGAAGTGCTCTTACAACCACTGATAAAAGAGCCTTCTGCACAGTTTCAGCCTCACACTCTGTGAATGGGTGGGGTTCTATGAACAGAGAAGAGCAAATGTGGTAATGTGGAAAGATGTTAGGTTGCCATGGTAACCTCACATCATCCAGTTGTCAGGAAGGCACATACCATGGCGCTTTCCTCAGCTGATTTAGGCTGCATATTCAGATAAAAAACCTCAATATATGCGCTATTCCTAGATGTCAACCAGGCACAGATCGCAAAGATTGCTTTAGTCAAGGATTAGGATCGTTGTAATCCATTACTCATAACTACACGCAAAAATACAGCACATATGGCTCATATTCCTCCAGTTCTTTGTCTTAATGTGTACACTGGCATTTAAAAAGGCTCTTTATTTCAAATTTCTGCTCTTGGCGACAGACGCTGTTGCGTCTTGTCCGCCGCAAATTCACTCGCCATTTGTCAAATGAAACGCGCCCAACAAAGCTACTGTATTCCTGCATTGATTCATTATTTATTCCCGCATCTATTTTCAATGCAATCGGAGCATTCGTCGCTTCATGCACGGCAGGGATGTGTGCCTGGCTTTGCCACATTGTAGCAGTAATGGTCACCCTTCCGTTGGCTGATTTCAGTGCTCTTCTATGCGGCCTCTGCGTTGTTGGCTTGCTAAGAATTTAATCCCTTCTCGTTTCCCTCATGCGCAGGATTTACCGGGGAGCAGCAGGGTCGTCTCGCAGCCGGTATCTTACCGTCAAATGCGGGATGTTCTTCTTCCCTTGGTAGCCCGTCCCAGACATCTCTCCTTTATGATTTGAGGAGATGAACAATGAGCAGTCACCCGCTTCTTTGTGCCACCAACCAACTTGACGAGCTAGCGCTCCGTTAGTGCTGCACAAGCGAGCGTCTCTCCCGAGGAGTGTGTGTTTGAGTGTTTGTGAGTACTGAGTGTGTATCTGCTCGCCTGTTCGGAGACGTGTTTTGTTTATGTTGGAGCGCCCCCCTCACATGAAACAAAAAGAGGGAGAACTGGGCGAAATGAGAATTGTGAGAATGTCGGGGTTTTGGGTCGTTTTTTGTTAAATTAGCTTTTTTTTTTTTTTTTAGCTTTTTTGTCTCAATGGTCGTTTCAAAATTCAAAATTCCAATTTCTAAATTCTAAATAATTTATAAATAACGTTCTATTAACATTAAGTAGACGTTTTTTTTTTTTTTGGGCATT